ACTATAGTATCTTTCAGTCCAACCAACTCAAGAGAGCATAGCTTGAGTTTTCCAAGTCATCTTTTTGGGGGTTAGTAATAAGTCAGCCAAAAGCAAGGTAGTGGGGGTGGGGTGGGGGGAAAGCCTTTTTCCAAACACTGAAATCTGGGATATTTACATCTTAGGGAGAGAGAAGGACACATATATTCAGATATTCTATTTTCCAAATGTCATTCAGGTGGCTGAAGTTAACTACAGGAATTTGTGTGGCCTCCCTCAGGGCAACTGAATTACCTTACCTGCAATTCTCTTCCTCTCTTCTCCCATCTGTTTGAAGTGCTACTGAGCTATACTGAAGGAGCTCAGCTAAATTCATAACTTTCTGACAGAGAGGAAGGAATGTTGAGTCCTGATACAGTGATTCCTCTCTTGCATTACAGGAGGTGCTACTTTTAACTAAGCCACCTCAGGATGGCTCCCCAGATCGTTAAATAAAGCCAAAAAGTAAGGTGAGGATAACAACAGCGGAAGGAGCAGCAATTAGCAAACAATTTAGTCAAACCAAAGAATTCACATCAGATTAATCAAAGGGCTCTTGTCTTCCACAAAGGCTATATTCTTACTAAATTGTAATTTTTACATATTTATCTACTTTCATTCTCAAAGAGCCGAAGCATTTTTACTCCAACTTTCCAAAAAGGAGACATTCACCGTTGGCAGAGATTAAGCATGGAAAATTTCAGTGAGAAAGGTGAAAGTTTCAGAAAGTTATAAGCAGGGCTGGCTCCAGCGTTTTTGCCACCCCAAGCGGCGGAAAAAAAACAAAACAAAAGGACGCGATCCGCGGCACTTCAGCAGCACCTCTACTGCCACTGCTTCATTCTTTGGTGGCAATTCTGCGGCAGGTCCTTCCCTCCTAAAGGGAATGAGGGACCCGCTGCCGAATTGCCGCCAAAGAGCTGGATGTGCCGTCCCTTTCCATTGGCCACCCCAGGCACCTGCTTGCTGCGCTGGTGCCTGGAGCCGGGCCTGGTTATAAGCAACTGAAAAGCAGAGGGTTAGAATGGAAATGCTGACACAGCCTTGGTTAATGTGGTTGTTACAATTCCTGCTACAATCAATGCCAGTTTCTTCTCCTTCTCCTCACAAAGGTTCACCACTAAACTCCACTGAGGATCTGACAAGACTCGTATTCCAAGCAGGGCCGGCTCCAGGCACCAGCCCACCAGGCTTGTGCTTGGGGCGGCACCTGGAGGGGGGCAGTGCAGTGCTCCGGCTCCGGCCGCCGGGGAGAGCAGAGCCCCGGCCGGACACTCCGCCCTACTCCCAGGGCTCCGGCCGCCCTCCCCCCCGGCGCCCTCCCCCCGGCCGCCAGGGAGAGCGGAGCCCCGGCCGGGGCCAACCGCCCTCCCCCGGGGCTCCGGCCGCCCTCCCCCTCACGCCCTCCCCTGCCGCGCAAGACTACACAAAGCTATATTTTTAACAGCAGCAATAATTTACAACAGTGGCTTATAGTCACGAAAATGCATCAAGTAGTTTGCCCATCCTTCTCCTAGCTACTAATTCAGTCCTGACCCTGTATGTGTTTCAAGTTAAGCACATGCAAAAGTCTTTGCAGGATCATGGCCTTAGACTGTAAGCTCTTATGGGTAAGAAATCTCACTCCATTTATGCTGCAAAACACAGTGTACATTTATAGAACTAAATAAATAGATACTCTAAAATTTCATTCACTGCCATATGTTGAACTTAAAAGAATCCAACTGTATTTTTGTATGGCCTGTGGTAGCACAGTACACGAAGGCTAGCTAGACATGTGCAAAGAACTGCTTTTACAAGGTTAAATACCAGTTTTCCTCAAAACTCCTAATTATGCTTTTACTCCTTCTCCACCCCAAAAGACCTTTAATGACATGGCCCAAGAGAAAAGCACAGTTCCATTCCTTATACTGAAACATGTGAGCCCAGTTGAAATGAAATCTTACCTATGCACCTAGGGACATGAACAGAATAGAATGGCTGACACGGAAGCTATACTATCTGTGTTATAACACAGCAATGTCAAAAGAATTCTACTGGAAGTAAACTCCTATCTCTTCCCATGCTGCTGTTGCTCATGAAGCATACCGGTATTATGCTGTAAGCTTCACCAAAAGCATCACCATGAGAATTGTGTTAATAGTGGAAATGCTGTCCTAAGCCTAAGATCATAGATGATTAGGGTTGGAAGAGACCTCAGGAGGTCATCTAGTCCAACCCCCTGCTCAAAGCAGGACCAACACCAACTAAATCATCCCAGCCAGGGCTTTGTCAAGCAGGGCCTTAAAAACCTCTAAGGATGGAGATTCCACCACTTCCCTAGGTAACCCATTCCAGTGCTTCACCACCCTCCTAGTTAAATAGGGTTTCCTAATATCCAACCTAGACCTCCCATATTGCAACTTGAGATCATTGCTCCTTTTTCTGTCATCTGCCACCACTGAGAACAACCGAGCTCCAGCCTCTTTGGAACCCCCCTTCAGGTAGTTGAAGGCTGCTATCAAATCCCCCCTCACTCTTCTCTTCTGCAGACTAAAGAAGGCCAGTTCCTTCAGCCTCTCCTCATAAGTCATGTGCCCCAGCCCCCTAATCATTTTCGTTTCCCTCCGCTGGACTCTCTCCAATTTGTCCACATCCTTTCTGTAGTGGGGGACCCAAAACTGGATGCAATACTCCAGATGGGGCCTCACCAGTGCCGAATAGAGGGGAATAATCACTTCCCCTGATCTGCTGGCAATGCGCCTACTAATGCAGCCCAATATGCCGTTAGCCTTCTTGGCAACAAGGGCACACTGACGACACATATCCAGCTTCTCATCCACTGGAATCCCCAGGTCCTTTTCTGCAGAACTGCTGCTTAGCCAGTCGGTCTCCAGCCTGTAGCGGTGCATGGGATTCTTCCGTCCTAAGTGCAGAACTCTGCACTTGTCCTTGTTGAACCTCATCAGATTTCTTTTGCCCCAATCCCCCAATGATTTCTAGGTCACTCTGGACCCTATCCCTACCCTCCAGTGTATCTATCTCTCCCCCTAACTTAGTGTCATCTGCGAACTTGCTGAGGGTGCAATCTATCCCATCATCCAGATAATTAATAAAGATGTTGAACAAAACTGGCCCCAGGATCGACCCCTGGGGCACTCCGCTTAATACCCGGCTGCCAACTAGACATGGAGCCATTGATCACTACCCGTTGAGCCCGACAATCTAGCCAGCTTTCTATCCACCTTATAGTCCATTCATCCAATCCATACTTTTTTAACTTGCTGGCAAGAATACTGTGGGAGACCATATCAAAAGCTTTGCTAAAGTCAAGATATATCACGTCCACTGCTTTCCCCATATCCACAGAGCCAGTTATCTCATCATAGAAGGCAATCACGTTGGTCAGGCATGACTTGCCCTTAGTGAATCCATGTTGACTGTTCCTGATCACCTTCCTCTCCTCCAAGTGCTTCAAAATGGTTTCCTTGAGGACCTGCTCCATGATTTTTCCAGGGACTGAGGTGAGGCTGACCGGTCTGTAGTTCCCCGGATTCTCCTTCCCCTTTTTAAAGATGGGCACTATATTTGCCTTTTTCCAATCGTCCGGGATCTCCCCCGATCACCATAAGTTTTCAAAGGTAATGGTCCATGGCTCTGCAATCACATCAGCCAATTCCCTCAGCACCCTTGCATGCATTAGATCTGGACCCATGGACTTGTGCATGTCCAGCTTTTCTAAATAGTCCTTAACCTGTTCTTTCACCACTTAGGGTTGCTAACCTCCTCCCCATACTGTGCTGCCCAGTGCAGCAGTCTGGGAGCTGATCTTGTCTGTGAAGACCGAGGCAAAAAAAGCATTGAGTACTTCAGCTTTTTCCACATCATCTGTCTCTAGGTTGCCTCCCCCATTCATTAAGGGTCCCACATTGTCCCTGAATTTTTTTTTGTTGCTAACATACCTGTAGAAACCCTTCTTGTTACCCTTCACATCCCTTGCTAGCTGCAACTCCAGTTGTGTTTTCGCCTTCCTGATTACACCTCTGCATGCTCAAGCAATATTTTTATACTCCTCCCTAGTCATCTGACCAAGTTTCCACTTCTTGTAAGCTTCCTTTTTGTGTTTAAGATCACTGAAGATTTCACTGTTAAGCCAAGCTGGTCGCCTGCCATATTTGCTATTCTTTCTGCACATCGGGATGGTTTGTTCCTGCGCCCTCAATAAGGCTTCTTTAAAATACAGCCAGCTTTCCTGGACTCCTTTCCCCCTCATATTAACCTTCCAGGGGATCCTGCCCATCAGTTCCCTAAGGAGTCAAAGTCTGCTTTTCTGAAGTCCAGGGTCCGTATTTTGCTACTCTCCTTTCTTCCTTTTGTCAGGATCCTGAACTCAACCATCTCATGGTCACTGCTGCCCAGGTTGCCACCCACTTCTACCTCCCCTAAGAATTCTTCTTTCTTTATAAGCAGCAGGTCAAAAGGAGAATGGCCCCTGGTTGGTTCCTCCAGTAGTTGCACCAGGAAGTTGTCCCCAACACTCTCCAAAAGCTTCCTGGATTGTCTGTGCACTGCTGTATTGTCTCCCAGCAGATGTCAGATGGCTATATGCTAAGAGTGCTCCAACATAAAATAGCCCTCCAGTAATGGAAAACGGCTTCCACGATTGACTATCATTTCTGTTTCTTTGGATGAGATTTTCTAACTCCTGCTCCTCACAATGTCTGCTTTCTTCTCTGACCTCGATCCATAACTTATGTCCCAGCAATTCCAGCTGTCAAAGAGGGGGCCCAGATAACAGCTTTTCTTTTCCCCCTACCCAAAGGGTCATAAAACCTACTGGAAGTCTTACCCACAAAGAAAATTGGTCCATCCATCTCTGACGCCTCTAGCATTGTGATGAGCTAAATCTTTAAAACTCTTTGTAGTCAGAGACACAACAGTAGACACTACTAGCCCTCTTCTGTCTTTTGCTTATGTTAAAAAGTCAAGCTAAGCATACTCACCGGACAGTTTCGCAGGTCTCCCATGGTGCTGGCGTTCTGTAGTAACTCTCCAAACATATCCGGAGTGGGTTTCTCTCGTCTCTCCAGCATGCAAATAGCTTGATTGCTTCAGTGCGAGGACAGCATGGAGGAGAAAAGTTTATTTAAAAAGTTGAATAAATACACATTTTCATTTAGCATTTATGCCACAATTAGAAAGCTGAGAAAGTAAAAACAGCTATCATATTGTAATTGCTTATTTTTGCAATTAATTTTTATTTATTTTGAAAATATTTTAATGTGCAAAACCGCCACGTTTCAGTAGTGGATTCGTGCTTTTTGTGTGACTATGTTGCAGAAAGAAAATGGGAAGTTAAAGAGAGATGACAGACAATTCAAGTTTGGTCTCAAATTTGAGATTTTAAGACAAAAATCTAACAGAAATGTTTCAAGGAATATTTAACTTCCAATTAAAACACATTTTTACAGCAAATAAGTGGTTCCCTACAGAATTTGCAACCCAACCACAGCAGCACTATGCTGTTGCACAAGACCGTATATAGGTGAAATCGTATAGATGAAATTATAAGCAACAGTGAAGCAGACATTTAATTGCACTGTCCAAGTTGAAAGATGCAAAAAGGAAACAAACAGCATTAGTGGAAAAAAGTAAATTATATTTTAAAGTTAACAGTTTTAGTATAAGCAACGTACATAAAGAACGTACGTAAACACAGCATGATTTTTATGTTCATCGTGCTCCTTGAAACGCTACAGTCCCAAATAAAAATTTTAATCTCATTTGAAATTCTTATGACAAACATTAAATATTAATATTTTAAGTTAATAAAACCATTCAGATAAACAATGTCAGCCAGAAAGTTCACCTAAATGGTAGCAGCCACAAGCATATGCTCACAACCTTTTTGATATACTATCAATCATAATTTCCCCCCACTGATTTGCATGACAGAAGCTATTTCTGATTTTCAAGACAGTATCCAAATCCCTTTTCACACCTCCACTGCACGGCTTTTATACTGGGCAGCAGGTGGGCAGTTAATTTATTTCCATCTCAATCAAGATTTCGAAAATAGATAGTAACCTCAGCCTTTTATCATCTCTGGTCAGTTTCTTGTGGGTAATCATTTGTGTCACCAGCATTTGGAGAAAGGAAAATGTGCTATTTTCCTAAATGTGTATTCAACAGAATTGTTAGATGGCTGGAGCCAAGACTTCATGCATTTTTTTCTTTATTTATTTGGAGCAAATATTTTTAGCTATTATTTTTTCATTCATTCATTCATTCATTCATTTCTTTAGTTTCCTTTTTATTGTAGTCTGTATGTTATATCATAATGACACTAAACCATAACTGATTTACCAAGAGAGGATAATAGGAACACTTAAGAGCCTCTAGATTTTTAGCTCTATTTATTATATAGAATAATGTGTACATAATTTATTTCCTTGCTCTCAGGATAAGACATCTGATTGAATTAAGTCTAAAGTGTTTTCTTATAGTTCCAAGAGAACGTGCCAAAGTAGGAATGATGCTGATAACTTATGTTGTCTACTTATTTAAGCAGGTTATCTGTGAAGTGGTTTTCATCTAGAGGGATAAGAAGAACAAGTAAACCAGTGTTTAATAATTCAGTGCACCTTCTATGGGCTTAACAAGTGGATATTTCCCCTTTTTAGGGCTTCCTTATGGCTGATATTGCTTTGAGTGTATTTGTTCATCAAATAACTACCGTATACACTCGTTCATAAGCCGAATATTTTTGGTAAAAACGTGACGCATCAAAGAGCAGGGGTCAGCTTATAAATGGGTCTACACCAAAATTTTATGATTTTAAACTCTATGGAATTATTGAATTGAATACCTAATACATTGTCGTTTTGATTACCTGGAGCGTCTGGAGGCATGGAGCCCCTCGGCTCCCTGTGGCCGCGGTTCGCCGTTCCCAGCCAATGGGAGCTGTGGGAAGTGGCGCGCCACTTCCTGCAGCTCCCATTGGCTGGGAACGGCAAACTGTGGACACTGGGAGCTGAGGGGCTCCATGCCTGTGAACGTGCCAGGTAAACAAAATGTCCAGGCACGCCAGCAGCTTACCCTAACGGGCCAGGAGCCAAAGTTTGCCACCCCTGAAATATAGGGTCGGCTTATGAAAGGGTCATACAGTTTTTGCTATTTTTACCTAACCATCTTGGGGGTCGGCTTATAAATGAATGGGCTAATGAATGAGTATGTACGGTAATTAGCCAGAAAACTCGTTTGGGGGATTTTAAAAAAATTATTGATTGTTTTATGTGCTCCTGACAGCCAGGCTTCCACTGTTCAACACGGACAGCTCTTAGCTAACTTCATGTGCAGAAACAGCATGAAGCTGCTGTGTGAAGCTAAAAGTTAAAAACAATAACTCTCGGTTTTCCACTTAAATATTTACTGATACATCCTAGTCTAAATGTGGTACTAGGATTTTACAGGTAAATCTCTGTTTAAACTGAAAGCCCTATAATGAGATTGAAATACTGTTAGGAACCAAGATAAAGTAGCTTTGCAGCAGAAACAGTGTTGAAAGAATCTGACAGGAAGGATTTCATGCATATGAACCACAGAAATGCTAATTTAAAAAAATTGGTTTAATGCTCATGAAAGTGAACCTGAACTACCCTTTGATATTTCAGTTCAGCCCACCACACAGTTCTACCAGTGCAATTCAATTGTGACCTGCATTACTCTTTTCCGTTTCAGTTCTGGGCACCACAGCTGTCAATGTTCTTCAGCCCTGAACTGTAGCACTACTCCTTTCCAGTCTTGTTCCTTAACACAGCTCTTCAAGTACCTGTTTCTCTGTTCTATGTAACTCCCTGCCATAAACAGTCCTCTATCTCTACAGCTCTGTCAATGAACCTAAATTCTTGATCTACATCTACCCTCCATCCTAATCTTCTGTCTCACAGAAGCCTTATGTTCCAGGCCACAGCTCTCCTACCCTTCCACTAATAATGAGCAATGTTCTGTATGTTGAATTATGTGACAGTGGAGAAAAATACCATGACCAAGGTACTACTGTAAACAAGGTAAACTCTTTTTTCATATAAAACCCCAGACTCACCAGAGTGAAGTGGTGGAGATGTAATGTACCATCTGGATAAAAGGCAGAGGGTCAGAAGTGGCACCACAGCTAGTACAGACACACTAAAACAGGAAGGGAAATTAATACCATGAGAAGGCTAAACTGATGAGTCCATGTCACGTATTGCTGTGCCTAGGGTTGCCACCTTTCTAACTGCTGGTAAACAAAACCCCGAGGGCCTGCCCCCGTGCACTCTTCCCCCCGCCAGGCTCCACCCTTGTCACTCTCTCCTCTCCCCCCTCCCCATGTCACTCGCTGGATCCTGTCAAGGAGCCTGGCTGCAGGTAGGAGGCAGCCCCAGCTGAGCAGGGACTGGCACGGGTTAATGACCCAGCCCGTTCTCCCCACCCCGGGATAAATTAGGGTTCCCAGGTCCCCAAAAACCAGACACCTGGCAACCCTAAATGGCACCTGGACACAGAAGCCAAAAACTAGACTGTCCAGGTAAAAACCGGATGGGTGGCAATTCTAGCTGTTCCTATCTGACATTTCTTCAGACATGATGCCAGATTTCTCAGGAACCAAACCTAAATGGGGAGTGGGTGCTTTGTGTAAAAAGATACCACTATCTCACCTGTTCAAACAAGGTCATTGCAAACTTCTGGTGAGAAATGCAGTGCTGAGCAGTGCAGATGTCCTCTTTTGACTCATCCGCAATGTGGAAATGAATCCGCATCAAGAGATTCTCCTATCCCGAAAGGAGGAAAAAAGTGAAAAGTTGATCATTTGTAATGTAGCCAAACGAAAATGAATTACACATAATTCACTACAGTACCTCAGAAATACTAAAATAAATAATGCTGTGTTAAAAGTGACATTTTACAATAGGATGGAGTGCTCTTGCTAACATTCTAAATTCATTTAGGAACTAAAGAGATTGGCATTTCATCGATATTAAACAAAATAGCTACCGTGTACGTTATCTGGAATGCTACACCAATTAACCTTTTTATTTATTTACTAGCCTATCTGCAGGTTCTATCATTATTTGTTCTGACAAATTCTCAAATGTCAGTGGGTTTGGCTTAAGTGCAATGGGCACAGCAGCTCTGTGGTGTTTAAACAGTGGGCTGACACTGTCTGGAAAACAACAACCTAACTGCAGGCTCATGATCCTGGAGTAACCCTTATTAATTATTGTATAATCAATGGATTTTACACTGTGCACCCAAAACTTTGTATGAAGGGGAACTTTATAACATGAACGAAGAGCTAGACAACTAATGGAGAGGCAGATGAAATTCTGCAAGACGCAAGAGTACTGAACACAAAGTGCCGGTGTGGACACCACTTCGTCAACAGGAAACGCTCTCCCACTGCTCATTGGCGGTGGTTTTAGTTTCTCATCAGGAGAGCTCTCTCCTGGAGATAAAAAGCAGCTACACTGCATACCTAACAATGCCACGGCTGTAGTGGCACAGCCACGCAGTTGTAAGGTGCGCAGTGTAGACATAGCCTAAGTCTCTAGTCCTTACGGTTGCAAAGAAAACCTTGAAAAGGTTAACTGAGTGCAAAGCAATGGAGTGATGTCTGCCCTAGGGCTTGTCCACACAGGAAAGTTTTATCAGTTATACTACTATAATTACACCAGTATAATTAAACTGACATCAGCATCAATGCGGACACCCTTATTGCAGCTTAAGGGTATGTCTACGGGCATGGCTACACTTGTAAATGTAGAGCACTTTGAGTTAAACCAGCCTTCGTAGAGCGCAGGAGGGAAAGTGCTGCAGTCTGTCCACACTGACAGCTGCAAGCGCACTGGCGTGTCCACATTTGCAGCACTTGCAGCAGCATAGGGAGCGGTGCATTGTGGGCAGCTATCCCACAGAGCACCTCTTCCCATTCTGGTGCTGTGGCTTGTGGGAAGGGGGCGGGGGGGGGCATTCTGGGTCCTGTCCCAACGCCCCATGATGCATCGCTTTGCATCCCAGCAATCCCTCTGCTTCCGTCCACAAATGGCGCCATCTTTCAACGTTTTTTGTACTGCGCGCTCTGTCTTCCCTTTCAATCTGCGGGAATGGAGCCCGAACTGCTGAGAAATATGCTGACGAGTCTCACCAGCACATCACGTTTGGCTTAAGATCCAAAGTGACAGCGACAACTCTGACGATATGGACTCTAGTAACGCATACGACACGAGATTGCTTGTGGCATTCATGAACATGCTCACCACTGTGGAACGGTGCTTTTGGGCTCGGGAAACAAGTACTGAGTGGTGGAATCACATCGTCATGCAAGTCTGGGATGACGAGCAGTGGCTGCAGAACTTTCTCATGAGAAAAGCCACTTTCATGGGACTGTATGAGGGGTTCGCCCCCACCCTGCGGCGCAAGGACACGAGATTGAGAGCTGCCCTGATGGTGGAGAAGCGGGTGGCTATTGCAACCTGGAAGCTGGCAACTCCAGACAGCTACCGATAGATCGCTAACCAGTTTGGAGTGGGAAAGTCGACCGTTGGAATCATGTTGATGCAAGTTTACAGGGCCATTAATCACATCCTGCTCAGAAGAACTGTGACTCTGGGTAACGTGCATGACATTGTGGCTGGCTTTGAACAAATGGGTTTCCCTAACTGCGGAGGGGAAAAAGATGGGACGCATATTCCAATTCTGGCACCAGCGCACCTAGCCTCCGAGTACGTTAATCGGAAGGGCTATTTCTCTATGGTTCTTCAGGTGCTTGTGGATCACCGTGGGCGTTTCATTGACATTAACGCAGGCTGGCCTGGAAAGGTGCATGACACATGCATCTTTCGGAACACTGGCCTGTTCAGGAAGCTGCAAGCTGGGACTTTTTTCCCAGACCAGAAGATCACGGTAGGGGAAGTCGAAATGCCCATTGTGATCCTTGGAGACCCCGCTTACCCTTTAATGCCATGGCTCATGAAACCCTAAACAAGGGGCCTTGACAGCAGCAAGGAGCGGTTCAACAACAGGCTGAGCCAGTGCAGAATGACTGTGGAGTGTACTTTTGGCAATTTAAAGGACCGCTGGCGCTCTCTGTATGGAAAGCTGGACCTGGCCGATAACAGCATCCCCGCGGTTATATCTGCGTGCTGTACCCTCCATAACATTTGTGAAGGGAAGGGTGGAAGATTCACTCAGGCATGGAACTCGGAGGTTCAACACCTGGAGGCTGAATTTGAACAGCCAGAGAGCAGGGCTATTAGAGGGACCCAGCGCGGGGCTGCAAGGATTAGGGATGCCTTGAGGGAGCAATTTGAGGCTGAAAGCCACCAGTAATGTTTGTTGCCCTGCACAGGAGTGAAGCGCAGTGGTTCCAATGTTAGTAGGAATCTGTGTTTACTACATATGATACACTGACTTGCAGTGCCTGTTGCTTTCCTGGGCTAAGGTATCTTTTACGTTATGCAATAATAAAGAATGTTTTCAAAGCAAAAAAATCCATTTAATGAAAATAAAATGCATTTATTGAAAAGAAACACAACTGCTTGGGAAACACAAAGGGCAAGGGGTGGGGTGCAGAACGGTACAATCACAGGTTTGCGTATGTCCTGTTATCATACTCAGCCTTCCTGTTTGGAGTGCTGTGCAATGAGTGCTGCACTTCAGGATGGCTATACTGCGTGGTGATGGGGGATGAGTGACCCCCTATCACTCCCCGGAGTCGGAGCCAGGTCCCTGGCTGGGCTAGGGAGTCCGACCACAGCGGTACCCCCAAGAGCCTTCGTTGAGGGCACAAGGCCTAGCTCAGGTTCTTTGCCTTAAGTTCTCTTGTGCAATGCCTGCGGACCAGACAACTTAGACCGCTTCTTTGGTACCAGCGAGGGGAAACGGTGACTGGCGGATCCCAGTGCCGGCGGTGCACTGCGTGCCAAAGCGGAAATACCGGATGTGGAGTCCAAGTGCAAGGGCTCCGATGCCGGGCGCAGAGCAGCCTCCATGAGTAGGGCCCTTAATCAAATGTCCTGCTTTTTTGAGTTTGTGGATGAAAATTTTTGCAGATCCGGCACTGTCTTTTCGATGGGACTCCCCCAGGCACTTCAGACAACTCTCATGAGGGTCACTGATGGGCCTCGTCCAGCTACAGTCAGAACATGGCTTAGAGCCTGGGGAGTGGGGCATGCCCCGCTCCAGGACAAAGTCCCATCCAGGAGTCTAACTACTAAAATACTTAACAGCTAACTAATCACTGACTAAATAACAAAGGAGAACGAGCTGAACAGTGAAGAACCGTTAATGCTCTTGCTAAGCAAGACCAGGCGCTCCAACCAACCATCACGGGCAGTGAGAAGGAACTGAGAGGGCGTATAAGCCAGCAGCGCCTGATATACCACGGCATGAGCATGGCACTCCAGGGGGCGCCAAAGCCGGCCCTACAGATACCACTAAGGCAAAAGTCTCCAACAACTGTGCACATGGGCGTGCACACACCTAGAATGGAATCAACATGAGCAAGCACTCAAAGAAGAATAAATTTTCCTTCCGAAAAGGTCCAATCTCTTGGCCTCCTTATTCTTGGGGGTGGAACTATATTGCCCTTGCTTCTCTTTCTTGTAGGCCACACAAATGACCAACGACCTTGGGGGCGGGGGGTGTACAAGTATTCAACCCCCTTGGCTGGGACGAAATACTTCTTTTCAGCCCTTTTGGAGGTGGGTGGAATTGAGGACAGGGTTTGCTAGTGGGTTTTGATAATCTTTAGGACCGCTTTATGCACCGGAACCGTGACATCAGCGGGGGTTGATGTGGAGAGCACATTAAACAAGGTGTCCGATTGCTCTGCCATCTCCTCCACCTCTAGGCCTAAGTTCATGGTCAACCTTCAGAGCAGGGCTTGGTACTCCTTAAAATCGTCTGGTGAGCTATCGTGAGAGGGCTCTGCCACAGCCTCATCTGGAGAGGATGAGGGCGGCTGGACCACTGGGGGTGGGCACCTGCCCTTCCACCCCGGCATCCGATTGCGCTTCGTGCACTGAGCCTGGTGCCATCTGATGTTTGTCTGAATCGGCGACCGACTATTGGTGCGAGGGGGACATTGGCATGCCCCAGGCACTCCACTAGGGCCATTGCGCTGGCCACTGGCCCTGCTGCCAGGATGGCATCGCGGAGGTGGACGCAGCCTCAGGAGCCCAGACACAATGGTGCTGTCTTGGTGAGGGACTGAACTCCCTCTCCGTGTCAGAGGAATCCTTCTCTGGTGACCACAGCGGGGCTGTCAACACCTGAGTCTGATGGCTTACCATCACCGTGTGTGAACGGAACCTTGAATAGGCAGATTGGTGCCGGGAGTAGGGGGATCGGCACTGTGTTGGGGAATGTTCCCGTGGTCTAGGCGATGGCGATTGACGTCGTGGATAGAGTCGCCAGAAGGATCACCGGTGCCATCCATTTGGTGACCGGCACCTCCCTCTGGGCGAGTCTCATTGAGAGGGAAGAGACCGGGAGCGAAGTGCCGGTAATCTGAAGCGGCAAACTGGTGACCTGAGCTGATGTGGAGATCAGGGGCATGGCCACAAAGAACTTTACCTTGGCTCTGGAGACTGGCGGCGTTCACTCGCCTTCGGAGAGGCTTTCATGGCTGCCACTGTAGGGTCCATCACAGCATGCGGTGCCAGCTGCACTGGGAGAGTCCTTTGCTTTCGGCGCCGGGAACGGCTGGGAAGGCGTTGACTCCACCATGAGTCTGGGTCCCGTACTACTCCCTGGAGTCGGTGGCGGATCC